CCTTCCTCCTATTTTCACTCCTTCTTCTATGTCCAAGCCTGCTTTTCTAACAATAAGTTCTGCATATGTGTAGAATAGGTATGGGTGATAAGATGCAGCCCTGTATGACCCCTTTTCCAATTGGGAACCATTCTGTTTTTCCGTGTTCTGTTCTGACAGTAGCCTCTTGTCCTGAGTACAGATTCCTCATCAGGACTATTGATTGTGCTGGCACTCCCATGTCTTTAAAGGCACTCCACAGCCTTTCATGATCTATGTAGTCAAAAGCTTTGCTATAGTCTATAAAGCATATGCTGATTTTCTTTTGGATTTCTCTGGTGCACTCCATTAGTCCTCATATATTTTCAACATAATCCCTAGTGCCTCTTCCTTTCCTGAACCCTTCTTGGACCACTGGGATTTCTTCATGTATGCTTGGATTCCATGTTGCATATTTTTGAGCATAATTTTGCTTGTGTGGGAGATTAGTGATACAGTCCTATAGTTGCTGCAGTCATTTGTGTCTCCTTTTTGTGAATGGGAATGTATATTGATCATTTCCAATCTGTTGGCCATCGTTTTGTTTTCCATATCTGTTGACATATGTTAGCACTATAGTTGACTCTGTCAGCATGGATACAAGATGCCAGCCCTGTTTAATGAAATGAAGACCTGCTTCATCATACAGGCAGTGGATGGCCACATGCAACATGGATGTCAATCCACAAGGCAAATATAATATCTAGACCACCTGCAATCTGAAACTGCTTTAGGCTTCTATCTGAATTTTATAAAGGAGCCCAGGAGCCCAAATGCAGGACATGAGCACACTGTGAACAATGCTGGCTTATCTAGAAGGGGGGCTGAATAAAGATCATGGAACATTAACCTATTAAATATTTGCTGTTTGGTAATACCCTCAAACACCATGAATATTATTGTTATGCATTTATCTTGCAATCATAAAACTGCTTATTCGCCATTATGAGCCTTTACATTATTGCTCTTGAGAACCTCAGAGAATCAACTCAATTACAATATCCCTGTGAGTAATTTCTCCTTAGTAGTTGTCAAAGTCAAGATACAGGTAAAATCAAAACCGGTACTCTAATAAAAATGAAATCAATCATGTTACCATAATTGGAAAGCAGTAATAAAAAGTAATTGAGTTTAATACATAATTTAGATCATTACTTGTTAAGTTAATGCATTCTGCTTAGTGTGGGAAAATTATTTATCTCACATACAGTTGAGTGTTCATT